CAAGATGTTTTCGGTTTCGTGATTTATGAAAGATGATAGTGTTGTCAAATAGAATATATGAGGTGTTAAATACAATACTTTCAAACAACTTTTATTGAACTATATCGATAAACCCTGTTCGACTCTTTATTTGTTTTTTTTTCTAGCTTTCGAAGAAGTTTTATGTCTGAATTAATTTTCCAGAGTTCATTTATTGTATCCTTCCGAGTAATTCCAATTGCCACTACAGTTGTTATCAAGAAATTTAGATTTCACTGTAAGAATAGCGATTTTAGCAAATCCCGTCGCTTTTTAATCTGTTGCAGCCAATTTCTACAACCGTCAAACGGAATTTACAAGTGTTTTTTAATATACTCATGGCGATCTTTCTTTAAGGCCAAATCATAGTGCAACTCACTCTCAGAACTGGAAGTTTTTTCTTTATTTTTTTTATTTATTTTGGTATCACGCCATGCAAGGCAGTAAAGTCACTAAAACACAAGTGGATAAAGGGTGTGAAAGAATTAGGAACAGAAACATTAATAATAAGCGGGAAGAGAAAAAAAATAATCAGGACAGCAAATAGCGATTGATATTGCATTTAAATTTTTGCTAATTTTATTTGGCTGGAAAGCAGGGAAATTGATAGAAGTTCCACAAGAGGGAGTTGTGAGAAAAGAAACTGTTAACATAGAACTTACGGCAATCAGCTTAACTGTAAATTGATGAGATCTCATCGCCAGTCTAATACGCCGTTTAAATTATGAAGCGATTCTTTATTTGTTTTATGCTATGGTTGGTTAATTTGTTTATTATCTTATTTTACAATGGACACAGACAATGGCATTAGCGTGTGTCTGTGAACATTTGTGTCTCTTCTTTGGTGAATGTTCGTATTTTGGTGAATGTTCGTACGTACCTGTATTTGTGTATAATGTTCACGGCGTCTTCCACAAATGGGAAGACGCAGATTTTCTAAGAGAGTTTACATTGTAGTCGCTGAAATGAAGAAATGAAATAGAGGATTTAACTCACTTTCACGTGAGGTGGGATGTGGATCGAGGCCTGAAGGAAAAAGAGGGTGAGGCGAGAAGTCGCCCAGTATTTATAGTATAGGGAGAATGACCCCTAGTGACAATTAAGGAATTAAGGAGGAGCTAACTCCGACAATACGCCCCACTCAGTTGGAAGGTTTAGCGTGAGCCAAAAAATTTTTCATTCTTTAATAGTCACTTAAATATTTATTGTGCAAAGTTAAAAGCCCGGACATTTGTTAGTATCTTGCAAACGTCATTTGAGAATGATATACCACACGCCTGTTAGAATAGAGGACTGACCTCTGTAGGGACCATTGCTCTAGGTTTTTAGGTAAATTTTATACCCACGGATGTTCGTCTGCCGATATCTTAATCGAAATGCATATTTTTGTTTAGTTTACAGTGTTAGACTAGTTATTTTGAATACTAAGTATAGCAAATACCAACAATCAAGTGTCTACATGTTGTTGTGGGAGGAGAGCGTTAGGGGTGTGGCCTGAGAGCCAAGAGGGGGGCTAGAAAAATTTGGCAACTCATGTTTACGTGAATAATACAAATAATCGTCGACTTTTGTCTATCTTTTTAAAATGTCGTCACGCTACGATCCCTGCAATATTTTTTTTTTTATTCTATTTGATTATTCGAAATGTTCTTATCACGATTTTCTTTCAGTTAAACACGACCTTGCACACTAGGTGGCGGTGTCAGTAGCCTGATGAATAGTGTGTCTATCTATACACGTAACTCATTCGTCAATTTGAGGCGCGTCAAATTGACGACAAATTTGCCGTAAGCGAAGCGTCTCGTTTGCGTGGCTTTTTTTTGTCAATGTTTGTCGTTAAAGATGTTTTTTTTAAATGGGATGAGTGACACTTGTGACAATCTTTTGAATGTTTGGTCGTTGTGTTGAGACAACTTGTTGATGTTGTGGATGCGCCCTCGACGAAAGCATTGAAGGGGAAAGGTGAAGAGGAAGAAAGTCATGAAATATAGAGAGAAATGAAGAATGAAAAAGAAAAGAAAGAAGGGGTAAAATGATGAAAGAGAATGCTAAAAACAAAAATGTAGTAATAAATATGGAAAATGTACGGATAATGTAATAAAATAAATAAAATAATAAATAAGACAAAATCAAGAATAAGAAAGAAAGAAAAAGATGGAAGGAAGAAAGACGAAAAGAAAAAGAAAAAAGAATGAAAGAAAAAGAAAAAAGAAAGAAAAAGAAAAAAGAAAGAAATATAAATGGATAGAAGTAAGTAGGTTAACCTATCGTCCGGTTCACGCTCCGTCTAGGTCTTTTGAACATGAGTAGAGGTTTTTACCTTGTTCCCTGTTTCGGATTGAGTTTTCGGTTCCTTCTAAAGTATTTTCAATCTTTTCTCACACCCAGAAGCCCCTTGGATCTTAGTGACATTCTCGCCTTGGTTTGGATGAATTGAGTAAAAAAAAAAAAGAAAGAAAGAAGGTAAATATTTAATATAACGAAAGGAGGGAAAAAATGAAAAAAAAAGATTGTGGTAGAAGGAAAGAAAGAAAGAGAGAAGGGGATAAGAAAGAAAGAAATACATGAAAAAAGCAGATTAAAAAGAAAAAGAAAAATTAAATGAAGGACGGAGTAATGAAAAGAAATAATGTGGTAGACAAAAAGAAAGACAGAAAGAAAGAAAGAAACAAACATGAATCATTTGAAAGAAAGAAAACAGAAAATAAGTACCAAATAAATTACATCATATATATATATATATATATATATATATATATTTATATATATATATATGCCTAAAACACACAACACACAATATATATATATATATATATATATATATATATATATATATATATATATATATATATATATATATATGTATGTATTTAAACAACAAAATACAGAACACACACACACAATATATATATATATATATATATATATATATATATATATATATATATATATGTGTGTGTGTGTGTGTGTGTGTGTGTGTGAAAATATATAGAAAATAGGAAGGAACTGGTTAGGTAAATAATCCAAAGTCCCTTAGTATTTTAGTTATTATTTTAAAAAAATAGTGCTCGATACAAAAAAGCATAAATATAATTATTTATTTAAAAATATGATTCAAATCGCGACATAAAAGTCCCATGTTTCAAAACAAGGCCGAAAACTTCAATATAATTATTTAAATTAAACAGTTAAAATAAATCTGTTCCATCTTCAAATTTTTTTTTTTTTTTTAAATAACGTGTTTCAGAAATTTACGTTTTATTCCAAAAAAATTTCCTTAAAGATGGAATAGAGCTTATTTTTTGATTTCAATTTAATTTAAATAATTATATTGAAGTTTTTGCCTTGTTTTGGAAATGGGACTTCAATTTATTCATGTATGATTTGGAATCATATTTTTTAAATAAAATATATATATATATATATATATATATATATATATATATATATATATATATATATATATTGTGTGTGTTGTGTGTATTTAGGCAGCATTTTTTCATTGATGCATGTTTTATTAAACTTTTTTCCCATACTTAACACTTCTCGTTTTCCTCTAGCGTGGTCATGTGTGACGTCACGAGCTGCGGTGCGATTTTCGCTTCCGCGTCTTGTATACATGAGTTTGTCGTTGCTTGGAAATCTTTCATGTAACAAAAACAGACTATCATTATTGTTTTGTCCGTGCATTGTTTAATATATTGAAATGTAATTGTCATCTTTGATAATGGCTTATGTAAGTCGAAAGCTTAAATAGGATTAAAAAGATGTAACAATATGGTGACTTTCTTTCATCTTTCAATGATAATGTTATTAAGCTTATCTGACAATATGAAAGGAATTTACTTAGAATAGACAAACCATGTCTATATTATTTTATGAAACATGCATCAATATATATATATATATATATGTGTGTGTGTGTGTGTGTGTGTGTGTATGTATGTGTGTGTGTACAGATGAGAACGAATACAGTAAAATACCAACGTTCGTAACATTTAATTTAAAAGAGGGCTCAATACAAAGTAGAACAGTATTACTTATTTTAGGATATTACATCGAAATATGTCAAAATCGCTACATAATTGCAGTCGCGTTTCGATGTATATCAATTGCATCTCATAAGAGACTCTTACCGGACAGTAATTTAATATTGCCTGATGAGATGCATTGATACGCATCGAAACACGGCTGCAAATATTTTGACATGTTTTTGGTGTAATATCCTAATATATATATATATATATATATATATATATATATATATATATATATATATATAAGATAAGATAAGGACAAATGGACAATAATTCCACTGTCCGTAGCATTTAATTTTAAAGAAGGGCCCAATACAGAGTAGAGCCTTATATTATTCATTATAGGAAATTAAAACACACACACACACACACACACACACACACACACACACATATATATATATATATATATATATATATTAAAATGTTATTTTTAGTGGTATACCTGTGTTTGAAATAGACGTCTCGTTTTTTCTTCTTCTTAATAGTCAATTAAAGTATGAGTATTAGAGGAAACGTGCTCTCCGGCAGTGGTCGAATCTGTGTGGTCTTATGTAGGGGAAACCAGCGTTTGATCCGACGTGCTTTACACTGGGACCATCATAGCCCAAACAAGATTTTATATACCCTTTTAAGGAATGTAAATTCCCTCGTTTAGATTTACTTGAAAGCTTATGTCTGCTCGATTTCACATCCAAAAAAGTCAACGAAGCAATTCCTCAAGAATCAATGGATTTATAATTAATCTGAGATTTTTATTACTTTAAGACGTTATTGTTATTGGATGTCCGTGTTTGAAATAGACGCCCTGTATTATTTTAAGTAACGAGTATTACGTCTACCGCCTGCGCAATCCTCAAAACTATAGGATTACCGCTCTCCGGCATAGCGGTTGGAAAGTGAATGAATGAACATACCATGTTAGAACCAATAAAGATTACGGTCACATCACCGGTTCCCGTACGATCACCGAAGTTAAGCAACGTCGAGCCTTTTCAGTACCTTGATGGGTGACTGCTTGAGAATACCAAGTGCTGTAAACTTGGATGTGTGGGTCGTTCAAGGGATACTGTTTCGGAATTGTTTCGTGCAAATACAATTCGGAATGGTATGAGTCTACGTCTCCCCCCACTTCAATTATTGATCGATTAGTAAAACTTGTATCACTAAATCGATACTAACTAAAATGAAAAAAAAACATGTTATAATCTAAAAATATTTTCTGATTTCCATAAATTGCAAAGCCGTGGAAAAATGAATCAGGGAACGATCGATAGTATTTGGATTTTGTCAAGAATCTCGAGATAGGTAACAGGAGCACCAGACCAGATATGGTAACAATATTCTTCATTCCACGGACGAATTACACACACACACACACACACACACACACATATATATATATATATATATATATATATATATATATATATATATATATATACAAGAATCTCGAGATAGATAACAGGAGCACCAGACCAGATATGGTAACAATATTCTTCATTCCACGGACGAATTACACACACATACATATATATATATATATATATATATATATATATATATATATATATATACAAGAATCTCGAGATAGATAACAGGAGCACCAGACCAGATATGGTAACAATATTCTTCATTCCACGGACGAATTATATATATATATATATATATATATATATATATATATATATAAGTAACTTGCATATTGATTTTAAAAAGTCTTTCATTACTGTTCTTTTATTCGAGGATTGTTTAAATTTTCTTATCAGAAATAGTTCTGTTTAGGAATATCGTCTTATATAGTGCAGAGAAGTGTTTCACATTTGCATTTTACTTGGTCTTCGACAAATTTGCATCTATTTGTAAAACTTTTCTTAACTATAACAAGCCAATTAATGAATGAAATGTTCATTTAAAATTTTTGTTTCAAATATTTCAAGTAGGGAATATATCTTTGCGAAGTGATAGCGAGTAAGCAAAGCCTTCTGGTCCTTCTATAGAATCACATCTCTGTTGCTTCAAGTCTATTCTTCCTCTGTGAGGAGATTGACCAGCATTCAGAGCAGGACCAATAATTTATAGTTCAGTATACTTTTCTTTATTTCTAACGAATTTTTTTCTGTTTCTTAATAATTTGATTGGCTTTAAAACACTTAAATCATTCTGATTGCCTCTTAATATTTAATTTATGGAATTCAGAAAATTTCAACACCGAACCTTCGTTGAAACGAATGGAATAAAAAATGTGTTTCGACCGTTAATATTGACGCTTAAAAGGAAGTACTGTAATTGGGTAATCGGAATCCTGGCGGGTCAGACGAGATGCAAACATGTCTATTTGCCGAGAGAGAAAAATATTAGCCTGCAATTAAAAAGAAAGTTTCGCCAAGTGTCGGTGATAATTTTACCGCTGATCAAAATAAACAATAGCCATTTGTTGTTACTTGTCAAAAACAGAGAAACAAAATAAAGAGACACTTCTAAGCCCGAGGCTGTCAAAAGGTTAGAATTAATTTTCGCTGTCAAACCCTTTCAAACTCAACCGAAAGCCTAAATATCCTTAGACGTCATTTGCGATTCTATGATTAATATTTCGACATCAGATATCATCCATTAGTTAAGAACAATCCATTGAGGAGTATGGGACAAATGCTCTCAAAAACACCAGGCGTTGGTGCCGTGGTTTCCATGGCAAGTAAGGTTTTATAGGATGAAGTTGCTAGCCTTCTGCCCAAAGGGCTTTGTATTCGATTAAAGTACCCGATATTCTAAAGCGGCGCAACATCTAAGTACCAAAACGGGAACCAATGTTTCGGTGTGATTTGGCCGTAAGCTAAATGACATCAGGCATATTTGCATTAATAAGACTTTGATCTCTACACCGGTAGCCACTAAATATAGAGTTTAATAAAATAAAATAATATTAATAAATAATATAAATAAAATATAATAATATAATATAAATTAATAAATAATATAATAAAATATAATGTCGGATTAAAAAATACATCAACTACTTGTAAAATATTCGAAAATGCCTCGATGTTATGAAAAGGAATGAAAACTATGGAGGACGCTGAATGATGTGATTTTCGCATTTTGTTAAACGAAATTAAATTAATACTATCGTTGTTATTATTTAAAAATAAATGAGTTAATCATTTTCCTTTATTTTTTAATGTTTCATGGTCATTCATAATAAATATGTTGACGTGAGGAAGTAGTATTTCGTTTAAGAAAAATATCCACTAAAAAGAAGTAATAATATATATACATACATATATATATATATATATATATATATATATATATATATATGTGTGTGTGTGTGTGTGTGTGTGTAAGCTCGTGTGCGTTTGCTTGTTTGTGGGTTTGTATGACCGTGTGATACATATATGTATATATAGATTAAATTTGAATAAGAATCAGATGAAATAGCAAGCATAAGACAAATTCGCAAAATAAATTTGCAAACACACACACATATTTATATATATATATATATATATATATATATATATACATATATAAAGGAAAGAAATCACAGGGGAAAACCTTTCAAGTCCATGCGTTTTGTTCCTTGAGGAATTTTATCGCAATAGCATAAAAGATTTTCATCTTGGCATTTCATTCATTAATATTGTCTTTGCCTATAGCATTTTATTCATATCATAATTCCTCCACCATATATATATATATATATATATATATATATATATATATATATATATAATGAAAGCGGACTCCTTAGAAATTCATAGGTAATAGTTTATTTTATGGGATCAGGCGCCCATTTCCTCAGACTAAAAAAATTTACAATAGGCGCCTGATCCCATGAAATAAATTATTACCTAAATGGATTTCTAAGGACTCTGCTTCGGATTTATATCTTCCTTGAATATCATATATATATATATATATATATATATATATATATATATATATATATATATATATATATATATATATATATATATATTACTTATTACTCCTCTCCCGTCGAACTCGACGTTGAGAGTCAAGCAGATCAGTTTCCAGGAAATCGACAGCCCGACAACAGCACATGAGATTTGATTATAGTGGTGAAGGTTTCGTGCAGGACCATCCACACTTTTTGAAGGGCCGAATACAGAGACCTGGTGCCCTACGTGCCACAAGGTCACCAAACAACCCTCCGCAGGTTTTGAATTCAGAGTTGTCATCCAAGGCGATAGAACCCAGTCTGTCTGGGTAAATAGGAACTATGGGTATATATATATATATATATATATATGTGTGTGTGTGTGTGTGTGTGTGTGTGTGTGTGTGTTATATTGCGTGTAACGCGTTTCACAGACTGAACAGTTACTATACTCTAATCCTTGGCCAAATCTTAGGCATTATGCATAGGTAGTACATTGGCCCAAGAAAGAAATATTGATCCATAGTTGCAAATTTCTCTCATTTTTACATATATTATGCTTTAAATACTAATGTCGTAAAGTAAAGAAAAATGAACTGAAAAATATTAATGTCTGGTAGTTTGAAGTTCATGTTCAGATGCGCCACAGAAACTTCGGGTAATATAGATTCAGTCTCACCAATTAGTGATTGTTTTCTATGGTGCAATGGCTAAGAGGTTTGTCTTGTGGGGTTGAGTTCAATCCTCACAGAGGCTTCCTATTATAGCCGTGCGTCAACCGGGCGTATTTCTTAGTGTAAATAACCATATATCCTTGACGTTAAATTTCAGCTCGTCTCACTCGTCCTCTTTAGCAAATTGGAAAACCAGTACGAAAAGATCCCTCGATAATTATTTCTGGTTGATTGCTTGGAGTTTGGGTTGAGGAGCTTTTTTTTTCCTCTTCATCTCCATTCAGTGACGTTTAATAATTTCTTAAGCGAAAATCCTTTAGCCAGGCATTTTTGGTCTAGTATAAAGTACAAAGCATTCTGATTCTTTTGTCTTCTTACCATTATCATTTATTCTATTTATTTTTTAAGGGACGGTTCTTGTTATTGCCTTACGGTCCTGCCTTGTTGTTTGCTTTCTCTATCCTGCTGTTCTTTCGAAAGTAGTACTAGCCATCGTCCGTAAACCTCCATTGTCCGTCATGGCGTTAGGACAAATTACTGAAACTGGGCTCCAAGCCGAACAGATCCAGTCACACTTCTTGAGACCATTAATTCTGATCGCCTTTGTTCCGACTTGCTTCTTTTTTTTTCGTTCTTTTGTCTTTCTATGCTTTCGTAATTTTCTTTTTTCAATTTCTTTACATGGTGTGTTATCCCTTTTTTTTTATTTTTCTTCCTCTGTTTTTCCTTCTTGTCTTTCTAATTTCTTTCATTTTTGCATTCAACATCTTTCATTCTTTGCTTCGTTTGCCTTCTCTTATTTATTGCTTTCCTTTTGTTATTGATTTCTTCTTCTTTATTTTCCAACTTCTTCTTTTCTCTTTCTTTCTATACATTTCATTTTTCCTTCACTTCTCTATTTTTAACATTTTTTTGTTACTATTATCTGTTTCTCTTTCATTTACTTTTCTTTTTTCACTATGAGTAATCTTTTATTTTATTTTTTACCTTCTGTCGTTATTTTTTTCATTGCGCCATTTTCTTTCATTATTTAGAGAAAAAACTTTCTTTCTTCTTTTCTTTATTTAGGGATAACACTTTCTTTCTTTCTTGTTAAACGTTTTCTTCTCTTCTCTTTCTTTTCTTTTCTTTTTAACTACGTTTTCTTTCTTTATTGTTCACATTTTCATTCTTTCTTTCTTTCTTTCTTTCTTATCTCTTTTCTCTCTCTCTTTCTTTCTTTCTTTTTACGTACGTTTTCTTTCTTTATTGTTCACATTTTCTTTCTGTCTTTCTGTGCTCACTTTCTTTCTTTCTTTCTTTCCTTCTCGTTCTTTTCTTCTCTTTCTTTCCTTTTCTTATTACCTACGTTTTTTTTCTTTATTGTTAACATTTTCTTTCTGTCTTTCTGTGCTCACTTTCGCCTTTCTTTCTTTCTTTCTTTCTTTCTTTCTTTCTTTCTTTCTTTCTTTTTCTTATTACCTAT